GCATCATGAGCATGCGTGCGCGCGTGCCCCGTCCCGCTTGGTCCCTCCCCCTGCCGCCTCCCTGGCCAGCATCATTGCGCATGCACGCGCGGGAGCCACCTTTGACGCCTTCCAGTGAGCATCATCAGCATCATGGCGCGCGCAGGCACCAATTTGAGGCCTTCCGGTACCTACCCCGACCTCCGGAAACATCGGCCTGCGCCTGATGGGCCGCAGCGCGGCGCCGGGTGCTCATGATGCTCGCCGCGTGCCGGCCAGGTGTCGCGGGCTGATTTTTGTCAACTCCCACCCGCCCACCCGGAGTGAAAATTACGAGGGGAGAATGCAACGGCAAAAGAGAAGGCGCAGCCTGCTCGCATGAGAGGCGGAGGGCGGGATTTGTACTGCAGTAGGCGAGTGCCTGGGGCCAGGTCTGGGGTTGGAAGGCTTCCCAGGCCTCCCAAAGCCTCCAAAGGCCTCCCAGGACTCCAGGGGAGCTTGAAGCTGAGATCTTGGGAGCGCAATATTGAAGAAGTTTTGGTTGATTATGGTTGATTGGAAGGCTAAGGACCAAAATTCTGACCCCAAAACGGACCCCTGGGTCAGGGTACTCTGGTTTTCGTATTTTTCTTATTGTAGTCTGGCTCATAGCTTTCAGGCAGTGGGCCCTCCCGAGACGTTAACGTTTTTATTCCAATGTTTTCTTAAGTAGTGCTGTCGCCGTACCATGGTTTTCATCCTGGAAATGCGAGAAGTGCCAAGCGACAGTCGCAGGCCAGAAGTCTCCGAAATGCACCCGCCTGAGAATCCTTTTGAAAGTGCTTAGAAGGCTTAGCATTTGCTGCCCGAGTTCCTCTCTGCCCGAGTCTCTGCGGCCCTGCAACTGCGACACCTTGAGTCAAGTGCGTTTTCAGAGGTCGCAGGGATACAACTTAGAGCACAGCACAATGCGCCCGATGCTGTGAATGCAGGTGTCCGCAGACAACTGGCCCGCCCCTCCAAGGTTAGGCTGTGGGTTTTCCCGTCTGAGGAAGAAGGCGATGGAAATGCTGGAGCCAGCCAGCAAGGTACCGCTCGAGCCCCAGATTGGCGACAGGATTACATTGTGCACGACTGCAAGTTGGGACAACAGCTTGGTGGCCGAAACATGCTTGTGCATTTCAAACTGAAGCATGCGACTGAGGGCCGTGACCTCTCTTCCTTTCGAGAATCCCTATTCGATGCTTCTGAAACTGTCGCCGGCCACTTGGAGTGCCTGAGACTGGCTGGAAGACGCCATCGAGCCATCGAGGCTGGCGGAGCGCGTGCAGGGGCAAAAGCCGGAGCTCCTGGAGGCGACGCGCCGAAGTAGCAAGCAGCGCGGCAGCACATTCTTCTGGCCCGTTTAAAGCGCAGGCTCTGATGTGCATCTCGAAAGCTCTTGCGATCGGCCGGTCCCTCGGAGCTTCGAGGCGCGAAGTGCCAGACGACGCTCTTTGAGGCCCCGCTTGCCAGGAACTCTGGTGGAGCCACGTCCTCGGCAGCCGGTACGACGTTGGCTCCGTTGGCTCTTTCCAGTCAGCGAAGTTCCCAGGTGCTGCCAAGGTCTTTTTGCAGCTCTTCCTGCAGCAGGACTCGACATTGCCGGCTGTCTTTGGACGCACGAAGCAACTGCATCCAGGACGACGCGGACAGCCTTGTCGAACCCTGGAGTCAAAAGCTACAGGTGACTCGAGACCACGAAGCCTGCAATTCCAAAACTCTCTGCATCAACAGGGTCTGCCAGTCTGCATAGTAAGCCTTAGTAAGGCATAGTAGTCGTGGCAGGTTCTGGCTGGAAGCTCGGATACGAAGTCCTCGCCGTGCTGGCGCTTTCTGTATGGTAGCGGGCCTGGAAAGAACCTTGTCCCTACTCTTGCTGCCAAAGTGAAAGAGGAGGTGTCAAGTGTGCAGAGTCAAGAGAAGGTGTCGGGAAATCACGCTGAGAACTCGCCCATTGCAGGAACTTTGCTGCCCTGGTGAAACGACGTCTAACATGCTCAGCTTGCAACAACGCAGCCCAAGAGGAAGACCAGTTCAACTTCTGCTTTCAATACACATGGCCCAAACCGCTCCCATCAACGAAAGCCTGGAGCTGTCCGCAGTTCTGGGCACGGCATACCTCAAAATCCAAACTCGTCTTCGGAAATTGTCAGAACTTCAGGTCAAGCGCGAATGTTGAATCAAGTGTGGCAGCCAACAGCTTAGTTCTTTTGCAGCCTCAGGATTGCGTCGGTCTCTGTGCGCATCCCAACTCATGTCTCTTCAGGTGCAGGCTCACCCGGGATCTGAATTCTGGACTGCAGAAAACACTGAAGGCTCTTTCCTAAGTGCAAGGGCGAGACCTCCCAGAACCTGATTCTGCCCGTGCCAAGGCTGGACACCGACAGATCCCTGGAGAGCTTTCTCATTTGGCGCTGCAGTGGTTCGAAAGGCCAGCAGAGAGGTGAGGACTGATGAATCCAAGCCCTTGACTGTGCCGACAGGCAGCTTGAGATGCTGGTGCTTCTAAGATGCCGGAGGCGCTACTTCGTGCGAACCTCGAATGGTTCCAATGAAGCTAGAAGGGCCATATTAGAGGTTCTACAAGTCTACATCACAGTCACAGGCATCAACAAGCAGTCAGGATGTGTACTCTTGCCACTTTACTGAGGCCCGCAACAACGAGAGCAGGCTTGTGTCGCACCTGCCCGGTCCTCGATTTTTGTGCTTCGGGCTTTATATGCTGTAGGCTTCCGAGCTAGTCCGGACTGCTACAGCTCTCAATACCATCCGCTGAATGCTAGCTGGATGTGTGCACTGGTGATGCTCAAATGTTCGAGGGATAGGCAAGGGTTGCTGCTGCTGCCGATCTGATCAGGATCTGTACAGGGGTTCTTTCCAGTGAAGTCTGGCACATGCAACTCCTCTTCTACTTTCGGATCTTGGCGCACGATTCCGAGGAGGTATGCTTTAGCACTGTACTGGTTATTCTATAGACTACCGAATCTTTTAAGACTCTGGTGCGTTGTGGGTCGTCCGTTTGGGGACCACAAACGGACCGTCCTAGCCAACACGTCATTGGTAGCATCCTCCTCTGATCAGAGTCAAGGTCGCTAAGCAACAGATCCACAACTCGATGGCGGTCTAGCCATGATCTCATCATGGGCTTGGATTCGTCCCAGGTTCTGCATGCACTGAGGAATCGCTGCAAGCGCACGGCGCAGACGCTTCTTTGGTTCCTCATCAAGTGTACGGAGCTGCCACGCTTGTGCAATGTTTGACCATGAAAGCTTTGTGCAGAGGGCCAACTGGGTCTCGAGTGCAGGACATGAGTGGTGAGTTTCATTACACCGCGGATGTGATGGCGACGGTGAAGGACGAAGACTTAATCAAGCATCCTGTAACGAAGTCGGGAGGGGCAAAGATGCCTCGTTGCAGGAATGGGACAAGCCAGTCTTTGCAGAAACCTGGTCCGGCTCCCGGCTGTTAGTCGAAGAAAGGATCCGCCTCTGCAGATGGAAAGCCAGGTGCAGGCTGGCGAACGGCGGCAGCCAGCCGCTGCTTTGCTTCAGAGGGACACTGTGTTGGGCATGCTGAATCTGCTGGTTTCCTTGTCTTGCGCGGAATCCAAGACTGGCAGGATGGACGGTCGAGATCGAGTCCCTGCAACCTACCTTTGGTGCGCCCCGGCACACCCAGCATGGCCCAGCAGTCCTAGCAGTCAGGCAGGGGCCGAGGTAAGTTCGTGGACAGACAGGTATGTGCCATACATCCTGGGCCGAATCGAGTGGAAGCTTTCGAAGCTGTGTCCCGCAGCTTCTCTTCATTCAGAGAGCACGCGTTGATAGTTGCCACATGATGCTCTCGTTCGCAGAGTTCCAGCTTTGCCTTGCGCTGAGTATGCACGGGAGCCGAGGCTTCACCGGAGAGGCTGGAGCGGAAGAGCATCATTTGCGACCCTGCAGCATGTAGGCAAGAGCAGGCCCAGCACTCCGACTCCAAGCGCCCACCACGAACTTTGATTGAGGCCTCCTGATGGATGCTTGCCATGTGGAGCTCGCAGCCGGTCACTGAGCAGTTCCGAGTGTTTTTCCGACCCTGACAAGACCTTCCTTGACCTGCTCTTAGGAACCTTTTCGACAGCTGAGTTTTAAAAACAGCGATGTCCGATGAGCCAAAGTCGTCAGGTGCGCGCTTCTCTGACAGAGAGGCATGAGCAGTGTGAATGTAGTCCGTCTGCCCCAGACCACCACGTTTGTCGACAGGAGGAGAGACGAGATCATGGAGACCGAGCCAAGCTTTAGGCCAGGACACGGATGATCGTTCTCTGGGTGAGGCTCTCTTTTGCTCAATCATGTGAACCCCGCAGGCTACATGCAGTTCGACTGGCAATCCTGTTTGGGTCTCCAGACGGCAAGCTCCTCACCCAATCTTCTTGTTCATTGGCTCTGCAAGCATAACACCTAGAGATTCACGAGCGATAGCTTGACTGCATACCCATACCGGCCCGTATCCAAAGAGCACTCTTTGGACCAGGCGAGTGCAAGAGCTTGATCGGTTGTTCACAGGCTATGAGAGTGCCGGAACGATCTGTTTCGACACGAACTGTCTTGAGCTGCCCGTTCCTCGGAAGTGCCCTGTGGAGTGCGTTACAGTCGTTGGCAGGCTTTGAGAACCCAGGCAGAGGTAAAGTTTTTCTGTTTCCTTTGGTGCCTGGAAGGTCACGGCAAAATGTCATCGTTGACGCGCTCAAGGCTTTGCGGATGCAAAGTCGGTACATATGCTAGGCACATGCGATCCTCGGGAGGGGATGCAAGCGGTCGTGCAAGAGAACAAGTGCCACATGGGCAAATACCTCTCCTGCGAGGTGGGAGCTGACAGCAGGTTTGGTAGTGCGTGTTGCAGTTTTGGAGGGGCCAGAAGCCACGTGTAGCGAGAAGGCACCAGCACTATCATGCGGGGCTGCGATAGCCATTTGTGCAAGCAAGCAGCGACTATGCTTCTCCCGTGGTCACCCATGCCTCGGCAAAGCACGGCTGGGCTGAGCAGTGCCGAGGAGGGTCTCGCAGTTACAAAGCATCCACACCGTGCAGCAGGCGAGGGCTTTGCTGGACAGTGGCGAGTTGAACAGGGCAGCTGATTGCGCAAGAAGCTTACTCCAATTCTGGGATCATTGATGCGGCTCTCTTGGTCAAGATCGGAGCCGCTTGAGTCAAGGTGATAAAGATTGTCGATGAAGCGATGCGAGCCCGCAGACACCCTACTGGCAGCAGAGACGACATTGATCCTGAGCACATGTCATGACAAGTACAGAAGCATAAAGAGATTCGTCAGCGGTCCAGCCCGCGGCAAGGCAAGTTCCGAGTGCCCTCCTTCGGTGCTTGTCCTCACCTTAGACGTGTGCGATGTTGTGAACGGGCAATGCATTTTGTCCTAATGTCCCAGTGAGTCCACGTGTCGCGACCGCTCCGCCGAAATGCGAGGCCTCAATCCTCACGTCATGCTCTATCAGCCAGCTTCTTACCGTGAAGTAAGCGTGCACGTTTCTCATCCAGCAATCTGTTGGGAGAATCTGCCAATAGCTGCTGTAAGCAGTCTGACCCTTGAGATATATGCTCCAGACTGAGGCGTGCCCGCAAGGCGGGGCAACACCGCTACGACTACAGTGCGTGCTGCTGAAATCCATTCGTGGGATTGCAAAAATGACTGCCTCTAAATGGAGGCAGAGAGGCAGCAGTGGGCGGCGATGCAGACGTGCACGGTGCTCAAGGGTCACAGCAAGTCACATCACAGCCGGTCCTAAGGGAGGCAAAAGAGCCTGCGCCTAGCACGACCCAGGCCTGGAAGTCCAGCAAGCCATCTTGCAGGCTATCTTGGGAGTTCAGGCCGGAGGAGAACTGCTCGCCTTTCAGATGGTTGCCTTCAATCCCGAACCTGCACACATTTTGTTTTGGCTTCATGTCAGGCGTATGCGGCTCTGCAGGAAAAGCTGGGAACACAGCCTCGTGAGTCAAAGTCAGCAACAAACTTGCTGGGTGATACTGGACGTGAGAGCTGTTCTGTTGTTTTGGCTCGCAAGCGTTCGCGAGAAAATCCGGCTACAAAGTTGGCCGGCGACACATGGACATGATCACAAGAATCTCAAAGACTCGTGCCTGGCAGAGGCAGAGAGCCTTGCAGCAACCTCAGAATGCCACGAGTGGCCGCTGAGTTTTGTCGCCAGTCCCAGTTGTAAAAGATAAGCGCAACCTTCGCAGCATTCATGAGCTTGGAGAAGTTGCTCCATGCGCATGGACATGAAGCTCAACATGAGCTTCATCACTACGAGGAGAGCTACTGGACTACCCGCCAGAGTCTGAAAGCTGTGACGTGATCGCGTTCTAAGTATGGTAAAGATGCCTCTAAAGATCCCCTGGCCCACTGTAGCAAGAGGTCGAAGAGACAGTTGGTGCAGCCAGCTCAGCCAACCAGCAGAGCTACCCGGCTGACTGCCATGTACAGGAGCAAAGGGGTCCCTCGTACCAAAGTGCTAAGGACACCTTCGACACAGAATGCAGATGGCGAAACGCTTAATCTTCCTGTCGAAGCTTGGACTAAATGTTCGATGCGGCTGCCGGTGTGCGTGCTATTGAGTCGAATGTACGGCTTTCAGGAGGAGGAGCCTACTTCATCGATTTGCGGCTGCGCGCTCTCGCTCGTTTCGACCTGCGCAGCTCGGACTGGCATCATCATTTTTTGCGGTCGATGACCTCCCTTCCCAGATGGTTGTGACAAATGTCGTCATTGCTGGCTTCGGGTGCTTGGGGGGCACAGGGCAGCTGAGAAGTTGAGGATGATACTGTAGCACTATCAATGGCTTGGACCATCTTGGGCCTATTGCTGGTTTTCTTGCGTCGGAGTTACAAGGTGTTGCGAGCAACCACATTCCAGAACTTCGTGGATCCGGCTTGCGGGTGCAGCCTTAGCCCTGTAAGATCTTGCTGTTGAGGTGGGCAGCGGGCTTCTCGCGCTGCCTTTTGCGTTCGCTGCAGCTGGGCACCTCGTCCCGCAGCCACGGTGGAAGCCTTGTGGCAAAGACTGAAGCTTATACCGCGGTTAGCTGAAAGGCCCTTACACGGTCTCGGTCTCCTTGCTGGGTCAGCAATTCTCTCGGCTTTCGTCTCGCTGCTGCAACTTGTCCTGCACACGTATCACGTCAAGCTTGCTTTTTGGAGTGCTTCTACTTGATGTCTCAGCGTGCTTGAGTGAGAGGCTGTGTATGTGCTGCGACTGGAGCGAGAAGAAGTCCTACGAAGAGCTCGCAATAGCGGCCTTTGGCAGCTGGGGCTCCGTGACCACGGCTGCAACTGTTGGTGCCGACTTTGCCGCGGGCTTGCCGGATGCGTACGAACATGACTCGAAGCTGAGGTGATAATGGAGCTGATGGTCGTTTGGCTCCTGCTTGGTGCGATGACGAGCCTGCTGGTCATTGCGGGTGCGGGCCACCTAGCACTACGAAGCATCAAGTGGTACTGCCATGGTGTGACAAGTCGGCGGCACTCAGCACCGTCCTCAAACGAAATGATGAGTCGCTTGACTGGCAGGTGACTGCCTCATGGCAGTTGGGCCCAGCTTGGATTTGGATGCCAGCCTGAATTTAAACAGTTAGTCGCGACTTGCTCGACTGTCAGCGTGTTTTTTCTTGTGTTGCCCATTGACGGAGACTAAAGCGGTGTGGTAGGTTTCGAGGCAGCACGGACACCTACCATTGATTTCGTAAGGCGGGCTCTGAACGACGCGGCCTGCTCACGGTCTGGTGCTCGGGTGAGTATTTGGATTGACTCAAGTTGCCACTAAAGGCTAAAGCATGCTAAAGCGGTATGGGTCCTGCGTCCTTGCCTCGTTCTTCGCGGGGTATTTCAGGATATGCAAAAGGCGCCCAGCTCAAAGCGCGTAACATCATTGTAGAGTAGCTTGAGTTGGTGCTGTTCCAGGGCTTGATACGACTGTCACTTCTCCGGTTCTGTTCATGTGCCGAACCACGAGGACAGAGCGACCTGATTGAAACAAACGACAAGAGTCACCGCAAAAGTGTCTTGCTACATATCTGCTATTCCACTTGTTTGCAGAAGTGGCCGTCCTCATGGTCTCGAAGGCCTTGGATGTCGCCCTGGTGATCCTGCCGCTGTCCTGCCTGCAGTCTCCAGCGTGCCGTGGCTGAGAATATGAAAAATTTGACCTTTTCTGCGCCTTGTTTCGGCTTTGCAAATCCTGACTGTAAGTTCTCTTCTCTACAGCAACGCCATTGCGGTTTCCTGCACACTCCTCGTGGGCCTGCTGCTGTCTCTGCGGAGTTGGGGCGCTTGGGGCTCACTAAGCCGCTCAGAAAAGTTAGCCCCCTCTCTGCTTCGAGCTGCAATGTCACGATCGCAGGCGATATGGTGATCTCCAACAAGTCCAACTTGTCCGGACTGCCTGGGCTGTTGCGAGCAGTCCCTCGTTTTCTGAATCTCATGCAGTCTGAGAGATGTTGACTGTTTAGAGCTGACCACACTTTCGACACTTTGGTTCTTCTACTGACTGAGGTCCCGATAGTCACGCTGTCTTTGGGTTGCCAGGTGCAGGTGCCTCGTACCGTTGTTTTCAGGCAGTGGTTGGGTTAAGCTGCCATGCATGCTGCAGGTGCCTTGCATCTACGCCACCCTGGAGAAGCGCTCCTTCAAGCGAATGAGATGTGCGATTCTGGCGGCAATGGGCTTATGCATCTTCATCTACACGGTCGCAGCCTCAGGGCTGACCGAGAACGAAGTATTCGATGTAGCATGCCTGCGCAGCATGGCAGCTTTCACCCTCAGACGTGCTGAGGTGGTGGCCTTGTCTGGTCTGCATATTGCCGAGCTTCAGGGAGATGCTCGATTGCACCAAGACGAGGGGAAGCTTCCCCGCTTCCTGGTGCTGAGCGAATCCGAAACCCTTGCCCGCAAGCCCCGTAAGACTGACTTTTTGTGCATTATGGGGTTGGGAAAGGAAAGGTGTAGAGTGTGAAGTAGACCCGGCGTCCTTTGGCGGCACTCGCGTAGTCTTGCACAAAGCGTCGCTGCTTCCCCGGGCAGGTCACTGCTGTGCCAGGCAATGTTCTGGACCTTTTCGGTTCCAGTGACTGGCTGGGTGGAGCTATGCGTGCGGCCATTTCGGTGTCGCGGCTGAGGTTGAGGAGTTTAAGGTTCAGGGTCACTAGGGTTCTGGTGCAGTTGGAGTGGTCCGGGACGACGCAAGGTGGCCGTGACTCTGGCGTTCCCAATGCTGTGCTTACCTTGCCGCCCCTCGCTTGGCAATTCACGACAGATCTCGTTGTGAGGCTGTTGTTGGTCTGGCTGTTACATTGTACATGTATATAGGGTATATTAACTCTGTCCTCATGCTGAGGCTCCACCGTAGACCACCTGGTCTTCGGGGGCGGTGCCTTTGCTGCCTCGAATGCTGGGATGCGGCACCGGATGGAGACACTAGTGGTGGTGACTTGGCCTCTTCTCCTAAAAGTTGCCTGCACGGTGCAGGCCTAGCTGCCTGGTTTTAAAGTTGCTCACCGTCACGCAGCCTACGAAGCCTGCGCAGCCTGGAGCTGAGAGTTCGGTTCTGGGAAGTCCGCAGCGGCTCTCAGGTTGGCATTACTCTCCTACTCTCAACTACTGAGAGTGACCTCTCGAAAGTCTTCGGTTTCACCGGCGCCACGGCAGGGGCAGTTATTTGCTATGCACCTTGGATGATCTATGTACCAGTTTTCTGGAGGCGCTTTGCCCGCAGCGTGCATTGATGACTGGACAGACAGGTCTTGCCTCTTTGCTTTTACCTGCGGCTGCGAAAGATGCGTCCGGCAGTTGAGCGCCGCTCGACGATTGCCGTTGCCGTGCTGTGTGGGCTGCTGTTGGCCGCGATGATTCCGTGCGTGGCCTCTCGCCTGCAAGCCGCTGCCTATCCGGCCTCTCCCTTCTCTGCCTTTGCCTTGAAGAAAGCTTTTCCAGGCCTTGGCTACCTGGCAGCTTCTTTGAGGCCCTGGCAGAAAAGTCTGCAAAGCTTGCCTGCACCGGAATCCGCCAAGTGCGAGTGCAAGAGTCGCGCGACTCTTCGTTAGCCGTCGCAAACACGGACAGAAGTTGAATTCCGGAAGCGTGATTCATTCTGAGGCCCGATGACCTGCGGGGGTTTGAAAGCTGTTCGGGGCCTAGAAGACAAAGAAAAGACTGCACCCGCTCGTTCTGTACCGCCTTCAAACCTGAGTCTGAGGCAGTGGTGTGCACCCCGGTCATCGAACCAAGGCCTTGCAGTTATACAAATCAGGGGTACAAGCTTCTTTCTGACTCGGGTGCAGTGAGAAATCATGCAACAAGATGTTGATGTTCTTGCTGCCACAAGGCACGCACCCTTTTTTGTGAGAGGTGGTTAATGCGCTGAAATCACTGGACCAAAACCGGCCCGAATCCTGGCAGGCCCGCTTTGGTTGTAGCAGTCGATTATCCGCGTTCTCTTAAGTACACGTTTTCTACGATGTCCCTGTCGGCCTCTGCAGCGCATTTTCATGGCTCCCCGCATGAGCACTGTACAATTGTCTCGAGCATAGCAGAGCCCTCTGCACATTGTGGCATTCAGGCGCTGTTCCAGGTGAAGTACGCCTTGCTTCGCATGGTGGCTCGTTCGACATGAACATCAACCAGTGTGCAGCGGAATGCTTGCCTTCTTCGCCCAGGTGTTCGCATGCATAGACACGGAGTCCAACACCAGCTTCGAGACCTTTGGCTGCAATGGCTACAATGCACGAACATGTACTAACTCCCGACCACCGTAGGGCCAGTCACTCCCGGCATCCCAACGTCTTGGAGGCTTTCCCAGACCGTGTACTTGCTCAGAGCTATCAGGCTGGAAATCCGCCTTGCGTGACGGGGCTGTGCTCTCGCTCTCGTGTCGCAGGCGCAGCTTCAATGCCTTGGTGAAAGCCAACTCGCCAGGAGGCTTTCTGACTTTGAGATCTCGAGGCACCTTGCTTCACCGTGCATACCGAGGTCGATCGAACGCGCCTTCTAGGCTCGGCCGCCCAAAGTCTCCCAGCCACCTGTCGTACCCTCCCCGATGCCAAGAGGCCTTACTTGGACTGGCGACTGTTCAGCCTTCTCCGTCACCTTTGCGACAGCCTGAAAGTTACATGCTTTGAGCTAGATGCAAGAAAAAGGCAAGAAGATGCGGCTCCTTTGCGGAGGTCTCAGGTGTCGCGTGATGCGTCGCTTCCTCGACGATCCGAAGCTGTGCCAGGAGACATTGCTGACTCGCTTCTGCTTCTGACACTTGATGCAGCGTGACGGTTCTTCTGGAACAGAAGCCTGTTGAGCTGTGCCCCTGCGGAGGAGGTCGAGCTCCTGCAAGCCAGTCTGGAGCCCTGCGACACCGTGGTATCGTAGGTATCGCAGACGGCTCGTGGGAAGCAAGAGCCTGCAGGCTTGAAAGCAGCTGCCTGGCGGCTCTTCTGCTTCGGGCCTGGAGCTCGAGCTCTCCAGCTGATGCTTTCTTTGCGCGCCTTTGAATTGAAATAGAGGCTGGGAACTGGCGAACCTTCACGATCGAGCCCCTTGGAACGCAGACCTCACGAGCCATCTTCTTGCGCGCTCAAGTCTGTTTTGAAGGCACTTCCGACGAGGCGGGTGCTTCCTTTGCGATTCCTCGGCGCGGATTCGATCTGTTCCAGCGAATTCGCGCAGGACTTCTTCGAATCACTGCAGGGCCAGATGCCACAGACTAAAGAGCCAGCACCCCGGGCCATCCCGGGCTGGTAGGAATGTGTGTGTTGGTTGCAACATGTGCTGCTCATCTTAAATCCTCGTGCATGGTTCGCACGTCAGCATCGCATCGCCTGCATCGCGTGAGCCTGAGGCTGAAGGACTTGATCGGTGTTGCCATTGATGGCGAGGAGCGTTTCGACCGCAATGTATTCGGGATTGCACCCGTCTGACCAATCGAGGCTTTCTGGGTTGTTTTTGGGCCGAGGCTTGATGCATAAGCTTCGGGACAGGGGCGACTCACGGCGCTGACGCAGAGCAGCGGTGCCGTAAAAGCTGGCGCTGCAGCTCTTTGTACATAGGCTGGCCCGAGCCGGGAGTTGCCGTGGAGAGTAGCTGCGCCATGCTGCCGGCCCACCCGCGTCGCCATACTGTAAGATTGCAGTTCGAGCCGAGCCAGCAGCTGGAGTGGTCTCTTCTTGAAAGTCTGGCACTCGTGGGCATGCTACGACGAGAGATCTGGACTGAAGCCTGTGCCGGCAGCATGCAGTAGGATCAAGGAGTCCGCGCATGCGCGGAGAATAGATTCCTGCAAAAAAAGAGCAGCTCAGCGCCTTCATGCTGCATTGCGGGATGTTCTGCAAGCTGATCCCTTCGAGGATTGGATCGTGAGGAGTTGTGTGTGGAGGGGAATTTGTGGCTCTGCGAGATGCTAGTCCAACAGCGAGCGAAGCATGGGAATCCGTGGGACAGATGCACATGATGGGATCCCGGCACGTGTAGTCAAGAGCAGCCGTCTAACGACAAAGCCAGCTCATAGAACCAAGAGAGCCCCTGACGCCCCACGTCTGGCCTTGGACGAACTGCCGCTTGGCGAAGCGATCGCCGATGTCCCATGGCCAGACCGCCGAAAAGTCGATGGAGCATCAAGTGGTCGGACACACACATCTTCAAAGCAGAGCAAGAAGGCAGACGAGGGTTAGGGATTCAAAGGCTTCTACGATGTGATTTGCCAACAAGCGCAGGTGACAGCATCTCGCCGAGTTGTGTCGAGGTGCCTCGCTCCCACAGTGATGTGAGGATTCTGCTAGGGGCTCGCGCCACTTTGGATCTGCAGTGCCACCCCAGGACTGGTGTCGCACGCTGGACTCGCAGCTGGAAGAACGGTTTGGGCCAACTGTGCCTGCGAAGCTGTCCGCTGCAAGCCTGAACTTCTCTCGATGCAGCCTGGATGACGCAGCTCCTCGTCTCAACAGAAGAAGATCACGAGATAAGACTAGGTCACACCGACTCCAGGATTTGGAACCTGAGCCGTTGTGCCACCGTTGATGGGTTGTTGCATTCCCTCATTACATGACGTTGCAGGCCCTAACGAAGTTGCTGACCTACCTCTACAGCCGCGACATAACCGTTCAGATCCTGAAGCTCTTCAGGCCAGCATGCTCGTGCGGTTACGCAGAAGTCAACACCCGTCTGAGCTGAGAAGTGCAACACGAAGTGTCTTGTTCCGATCAGCTCGAGAAGCATGGCATCGGATTGAGTTCTTTCCCTTATGAATCCGATTGGGACCCGAATTCACCGGACAGTTCTGCAGTATCACGTCCTCCAAGGGGCTGTGCGTACGCAGCACAATGCCTCTGCACACTTAGTGTAAGAGCGCAAGTGTAGCTGCGCAACGACACATTGTAGCTGACACCAGGCAGATCTCTCATTGGGGTGGGCCCAGAGCGCACCTGAAAAGACTGTATGGGAACACCTGCAACTGCAAATTACATCGCTTCCAGGAACAACATCACGGACTCCGGAGCCTGGGCTGTCGGCCAGTTCATGGCGCACAGCTCCCAGGCAGTGCATGAAGTGCACCTTAGCCACAACAGCATCTCCGAAGAAGGCGGGGAGTAACAACGAAATGCACAGAGAGAAGCAGGGGGCTGATGGCAGGTGCCGCGGCGCTCTTAGAGCTTATTGTTGGAGCCTAAGAACCTGCAAAGAAGCTGCATGCAAGCACCTGAGCTTTTGTTTCATCAGGTCTGGAGCCGGAAGTATCCCTACGCAGCTGAGAATACCGGGCGCCGGGACGCACGTGGCAGCTTTGGCCGCCATTAAGGGCCTTCATACCGGCTCCTTTCCTTCCGGTGACTCGTGCTAAGCTATGGCGGTTTGCCCAGGATGTGCTCCCTGCAGTGTTGCCATCAAATCGGCGTTTGCGATCAGCCTAAACTCCACCAACTTCATCTTTAATGCAAGAGCAGGGTTTGTTTGAGAGTCGAAGCACTGGCCCTGTCGTTTGCAAGCGCTTTCTCAACGCAACCTTGCGATGATTTTCTCCAGGCGAGTCTTTGGCCCACTTAAGTGGAAATCTCCGATGTCCTGAAAGTTCGTAGAGGTAAGAAGGCAAGATGGTCATAGTTTTGCTGTTGCTGTCGGAGCTGGTGCATCCGTTGTTGCTGTTGCCGCTGTTGTCGTGGTTAGGCTTTGGCTGCAGTGGCAATCGCACGGGGTGTGGTGGTGGACTTGATGGAGGTTGCGGCTGTTGCCACGTCGGCGGTTGTGCTTCGTTGTCGCACTTGTCATTCGTCTGGTGGCTGTGTCTTCGTTGTTGATATGATGCAGCTTCTCAGAAGGTAGTGTTACCGTGGCTCCTGCTCCTGCTTCTTCTTTCAATTCTTGTAAGTTTTAGTCTTCTTCTTCTTCTGGTTAAGGTTGTTGCGAGTGGTTGTCGTGGTATGTCGCGGTGTTTGAAGCGGCTCCCGCAGTACAATGCTGGGCAATGGTGGTGCATGTCTTTCTGTGTTGGCCCTGTCGTGGTTGTCGTCGTTGTCGCCGTTTGTTCTCTTGCACGGCAATCAAGTAGATTAGATACAGAGCTGGCGAAACACAAGGGGCTTTGCTGACCAGCGAGCTACTGTGCGATGGGCGGATTGATGCGGATTGCACCGGCTGAGGCTTCTCGCCGATCTGGCTGCGTCTCGAACACAATTGCATAGACTGGCGCTTAATCGATCACAGGTCGCAGACTCAGCTGCCAGCCATGGACTTCGCAGTTGCCAAACTTGTCGATTGGAGTTGTCCAGAATCAGCTTGGCCTCCCCACCCGTGCCGCATGTCGTGTGCACGTCCTCGTCTAGCAGGCTTCACCGCCCTGACCTCACCTGGACCACCGCAGAGCCATGGCCTCGCCGAGCTCATGCGAGGTGAAGGTGGGCGATTCCGTGATGCCTATGGTCAGGTCTCGAGATAACTGGCCACCCATGGGAGACACCTCGCCAACTATTTGCCTGCATGCCTCCTTCAGGACGGCTTTTGTTCGCCTGCGTTCAAGAATTCGCGGATGCGGTTGAAACGAAAGCGGAAGGGCATGCAGAGACCCAGCATGGGGGCAGCGCTTGCAGGAACCAGTACGACAGTCACGAGCACGGGTGGGACGAAGATGGTAACTGGGCACCTGCTGCTTGGTGTGCACTTGATCCACAATCGAAAATATTCATGGGCACCATGTTCTGCGATGTCCGACCGGCACCAAGACAGCCAGCTAGGTGAAGTAGTCCCATCTTCAGATTCAGGCCTTATGGGTGAATTCCTTTGGACATGTCTGGGTACTTGTGGAGAATGGGGCTTTGTGCTGACTGCTTGTGCAGTCGCGAGGCCCGCCACACCTTCGGGACTTGAAATCCTGGACTGGTTGCGGGGTTTCTCAAACTCTGGGTGGGCATCGTATCCGAAGACATGTACTCTAAATGGAGGAGAAACCCGTCTCAGTCCATCAAAGACTTGGGCTTCCTTCTCTTGAGTGCTAAAACTTCAGGCTTCATGTTGCTTCCGTCCCAGGAGCTCTTTTGTCCCTCGGCTTCGGGCCCCGTCGTTTCGATAGCGATAGCATCGTTGAGAAATCGCGGATCCGTCAGAGGAATCGCAGAACTCCAAGCGCGAACGATTTACTGCCCGTATAGAGTGAAATCAGAGCAACGCATGCCAAGTTCCGAACAATGGCATGAAGGAGATGGTGTTGGAAACCCCCACCCCCGACACCCTCAAAGACCTGACAGAAGCAGTCTTGAATCTTCAGCTGTGCAAGGGATATGCGGCAACATCATCCACTCCCGATGATGGGGGCTCGTTGCTCCTGGCTGCCCTCAAAGGAGATGGTGCCCAGGACTTCGACAGGCCCAGTGCAGAACCCAAGCCGGCCGCGCCAATGCCAGCGCTAAGTCCTGCCAGGCAGCCTGTGCCGAAGCCCCGGCCAGCTCCGCTGGGCGCTGCGGTGACGGCGCCGGGGTAGCCTGGCCAAAGCCAAGCTTCTGTGTGTGGACACTAATATCTGGCGTGCTGAGGCCAAAGCAGCCCGTGACATCGCCAGTCCTGAGCACTTCACCATTGCAGAGCGATCGAGGCCACAGAGCAAATTTGCGATACGAGCTGGCAGCTTTGGAGTTGATCGCATACCGGGCCTGTTCAGCAATCCTGCTGGAAGGTGGCTACCCCTCTCCAACTGCGATGCGACCGCCAACAAAAGTACCGCTATCTTCTACCCCTCTCAGCCCCACCAGACAGGCTGAGTTCGGTGAGAGTCCAAAGCGACAAGCTAACTCAGTAGGTGCCGTCAAAGCTCTCGTACCAAGGTCAGATGCCCTTCTGTCATAGCAGTTCTGTGTTCAGCGATAAAAGATGATTAAAGGCACCGAGTTGCTGTGTGAGTTGATACTTGCAGGCACCCATGCAACCGGGCCCCGTGCAGCAACTGACGGAGACCCAGGCGGAAGCTTAGCTTGTAAATCAACTTCTTTGAATTTACCCTGTTGCCGTTGAAACCTGCAGCGGCCCTCCCCTGTCTTCGTCGTGAGTCAGGCTGTACCACTCTATTTGCTCCTTGGCTGAAGCTCACAGGTAGGTAAGGTAGGTACACGCACATCGACATGCCGCCACAGTTCGGTGTTGATCCGAGGTTCCTAGATGCCGGCGCTGCCCACCAGATGCTCACGCGCGAGGATGGCTCAGTGCTCTCGGGATTCCGAAGTTGAAGCCTCGCCTGGTGCTCAAACCGGCAGGACGGTATGTGGCGATTTCAGGGCCTGTTGAACCTCGCGGCGACAGGGCACTCGCCACTCAGCGGCATGACTTTCTTTTGGCCTCTGACTCGGAAGAGCACGCTGTGCAGAAGCTGCAGATCTGCTGTATCGGCCGTGCAGGAAGTGCGTCCCGGATGATGAAAGCTTGCAGCTGCCTCCGTGGGTCGGGGACGTGCAGGTCACCGGAGCAGCTGAGTACTTGTAAAGGCATGTGAGGTGCCAGGTGCTGGGGCTGCTACAGTTTGCAGAGCACTGCGAAGAGGACGCAGAACAGACCCTCACCGTCTTGACCGAAGACGTGCTAAAAGAGACTTGGACGAAGCAATGAGGCAGTTTCAAGTTGGTATTCAGACAGGAATCGAGACCCGAGCCTCGAATCGGACAGGCGAAACTGAGGTTTCCGGCTTCCCAGAGGTTTCCAAAACGTCCTCAGCCCTGCAAAGGCTAGAAGGCCACGTGTTCGAAACCTGTCGCGTTGTCTGCCTTTGTGGGGAAGTTCACGAGTTAACATGCTTTTGCGTCATGTTGTGGCAAGCCCTGTTTGTGTGTTCTATTGGTTTGACGCAGCAAACTGGCTTACGCAACTTCCTCTGTGGGCGTACAGCAAACATGGGCGCGGAGATCGATGGCTCATAAGTGGGACGCACGGTTCGCTGCCCTTGCCTAGAAATTTCTGTTATGCTGCTTGCCGAGCAGTTTCGGGGCCTGACTTGCCGATGGGCAGGGCGATGGACTGATGTGCACATCCACAGCCTCACGGACACTCATTGACCAAACAGATGGTCGTCTGAAGAATGACGCTATTGAATGTCTTGCTGCCTGCTTCCGCTGCTCCAGAGGTGTTTTTCCTGTGTAGCCTTTCTTTACAAACCCACTCATAAGAATTCGTCAGGCAAAGGGGTCCAATTAGGACAGGCATGGGTAATGGTCCAATCTGGAAGAAGAGACATCTGAGGTCCGATCAGAAACAAACATGATAGGCAACCCTACCGCAAGTGATGCGATGAGCGGTCATGTTGGAACACACTCGTGGAATCCTCCCTGCGGCTACTTCAGTCATTCGCTGCTCTGGATTTAGTCACACTTGTCAAGAAGTAAGCCGATCTGGACAAGATGTGTTTTTCACTGCTGGCATCGACTCAAAACACACCGAAATATACTGAGTCATACTGAGACTGAGACTGCTGAGATCTCACAGAGAGCTTCGTGGGGCAGAGTTCTGTAATTCTGCTCTGTCGTTCGGTGCCCCTGCACCCTGCAGAGAACCATGCAAGTGCATGAGATTGCCTTTGTCACCGGGCTTGACCCCACCCTCCCCCACCCACCCACCCACCCAGACAAACACACGCACTTTTGCCTGGGCTCCGCCAGCTAGGAAGACGCATGACAGAATGCTCCTTGCTGCATGACCTGGTCCTGTGTTGCGAGTGTGAAGTCACTTCAGTCTCCGAATAATGCTGTAACCGAGGAGCTCGAAGAGACTCACCGCGAAGATCCTTACGTGCGTCAAGAGATCGATCGCTACAACAAAAAGGACATTACTGTGAAGTAGCAATGCAATGACATTGCTGTTCTCACCGTCTTTCAGATGGAAAGTCGGCACGTAAGGAATTGGACTTGGAGTGACGGCCCATGCGCATGTGAGGATCCAAGCTCGGTCATCCGGCAATGCCTGTCCTGGGGCTTGGTGGAGGCCTATTCGGCTGACCTCTGGTTACTGTACCGAAGTACCTGACTGTCCGATGCTACACTGTGGCATTCAGCTGGCGCTGAGAACCCTTGCAGGTTGTTGAATCCCACGCGCACCTGTCCCGCATGCATGTCGACAAGCAGATGGAGGAGCGGTATCCTGGGCTCGGTGTCCCGTAGTCCATGAGACTTTGGCGATGAACCGGCGCATGTACTGCCATGTTTACGCGCCTCATGCCCTTGAATTGCTGCCTGCGGCACAAGTGCAATCAATGGCAACAACTTCCAGGCAAGGGCTGCGGAGATGCACGTCCCTGACTCCTCGCTCAAGGTGCGCAGTTTTAATGATCGCTGGGAAAGTCTCGTGCACACGATACTTTGCGATTGGCGGTAAGGCATCGAGAGCATAGGCGAACATGCGTGCGGACTATATTCATGAACAACATGTCGATGGAAGGTCTTGGACTTTGCCTGCGTTTGGCAGAGGCCCTAGCGCAAGGCAAAGACAACTGCACAACATAACGCTTTGTGGCTCCGTGTTCGACCGAAGCTCTAATCTGACGAAGGGAGGCATCAGAATGAGCTTGCAGCGCTCAGTGATCTCATCTCTCAGTGTAGCTCAGGCAGCAGCAGCGACTTGGAAGCACTCGAGCTGCCTCCGCAATGTGTGTTGCTGCTTGGTGTTGGCTGATAAGTTCTCGGTCCGCCTGGATCATCATGAACCTAAAATAGGTATAGCTATGCGCGTATGCATTACATTGCGAAGCTTGCGGAAATTATAGAGTCCTTCCAACTTCATTCATCGAAGCGATGAGGCAGGACGGTACCAACACTCTTACAGAAATTCATACTGCATGGAGCTGAGCGGCTTGCAAATGTACCTGCGCCGTACTACTGGTAGTCGGAGTAGCAGCAGCAGTATTGGCAGTAGTGGTAGTAGTAGCAGTAGTAGTAGTAGTAGTAGCAGCAGCAGCAGCAATAGTAGCAGTTGAAACAGTCGAAATTGTAGGGTGTATGTACATGTAGCAGCAGTAGTAGTACTAGTAGTACTAGTAATACTTGTAGTACTTGTAGCGCTTGGTGTAGGAGGCGACAGCAACGCGAACAAATACATCAGTATAGTCTCGAGAATACCACAGTAAGAGAGCAGCACTGAAGGGTACACTAGTGGTAGTTGCAATCGTCGTTGCCATTCTCATAATTGTAGTCTCGCCGGCAAACTTCCTGTCACCACCCGCCTGCAAGCGAGAGCTCCGCTGTTTCTTGCTCCAGGGCGGAAGCACCAGGCCTGGCTGGGGCTCAGAGGGGCTAGCAGCTTTCAGTGCTTATCGAAGGCGACAGAAGCGAACTGCGTGTGCTGTAGCCGGAAATGAATTTGTGTATGGCTAATTGTCGGAAAGGGGCAGGCGAGTGTAGGTCAGAGTTGTGGCGAGCAAAAGTACACAGGGAAGCATCGCAGTCGGGAAGATCGAGCTTGGCTTGAAATCCGTGTGGAGGCAGAGTCATGGTCATAACGGAAGATGTTGCGCTGCGGAGCTTTAGCGCGGAGATGCCCTCTTCCAAGACTTGGCCAGGCGCAACAGCACACAGCATCTAAGCAGTCATGCGAAGAAGTGAGGGGGCAAGTCATGTAGCAAAGTGTAAGCGTGTTCGAAGGGGGCAGTACGCGCAAGACACTGCCAGATGAACATAGACGAGCCTCCCGACAGGTGTAATCCTGCTGGGGGAGCTGAACCAGCTGCTTTGGCAGGCTCAATGGGCCGAACTAAGTGAGTGAACACAGACGAGAAAAGGTTGTTGCCATGGAAGCACCCTCGAAGGACGATACCTACGGCGGCAGGATTCTTTCTGAGATCTCTGCTCAACCGCGGCCGAAGCCGCCAATGCAGTTCCGTGGCTGCACGATCGAAGACCGCCTGCGGCTCCATCTTGTACACTGTAGCTATCCTTCGGATTTTCATGATCACTTTGCTTTCACCGTCGTATTGAACCTCCTTGTCCCCACCGCGAACTGCTCGACCAGCTGTTCGGAGTCGCTGCGATCTATAATCGCAAGGATGAGAGGTTCCTAGATTATTCCTTTCATTTACTTGCAAAAACGTCCGTGACTTTGTCCAATTTCCTAGAGCCGAGGCCGGCTTACCAGGGAGCGATGCTGCAAGCCGCGCTGGTCTGCAAGGCCCTTCGGTCTCGACGGTCACGTAGCCGGGAACTTCACTGCTTATCAAGCTTGGCATGTAGTTGGTCCACTGCATGCTCTTGTCGAGGTAGCTTCCTTTCGGCACGACAATGTGGACAGGCCGCTCTGGGTTCGAAATACAACCTTTGCCATGACGATATCACAGTGCGGCTACAATGTGTGACAAATGTTCTGTCCACGTGCTGAATGGCATGGCGTTTCCACAAGGCATGTGTTCTGCCCACTGTCCGAATGCAGCCGTAGAACAGAAGTGCATTTGTCAAGCTTTGAAGGGGGCATCGCAATGACGGCTTCCCCATGCTCAGACATGCAGCTTGATGCATCTGGCGCAGTCGCCTTCAAACTGCCCATCATAGCCTTGAAGATGCACCCAGGAGCTTCACGAAGCCCTGTCGGTGATGGCAAAGGCCCTGCGTCTGATCAGGCCAGGTTACACTATGGGTTTGAAAACGAAGACGAGCTGGAACCTTACCTTCGTGACAGGGCAGGTCACGGTGCTGGCAATCTGGCCATTGCGGATCAGGCTGGCGATGTGCAGTCAGAATCCTTCCTTGTTTGATCACCGTGTTAGGTCTCTAGGTAGGTTGTGCTCCATGGCTTTCGCGAACCGGAGATGCCACATACGCTGTGCGAGTCGGCCCGAGCAGTTGCGCTTCCTCAGGCGGCGCAGACGACAAGGCGATCTTTCCACATGTTTGTCTTGTTTGATGGCGAAAGGTCACCAAGCCAGAAATGCCCTGTTTGGTAGCGCTGCGCTCTGTAGTTATGGCCACCTTGGCATGGCATGGTTGTGCCAGGACGGAAGGCTCCATCCGTCGTCTGCGAGAGCTGCTGAACCAGATCTACTGACCTTCAAGCAGCAATCTATTGACGCGATTCCGACATCCAACAGCCGCAAAACGCTTGCAAGCGGGGACGCAGAATATGCGACAAGTTGACAGAAGGGGCATGTCACATATCCGGTTCGACGGATTTCAAGGCCGACTCACAATCTAGAATTTCGCACGCGAAGAAGAAAATCGCATACGTGCATATATACATATATACATATATATATATACACACACCAGAAAGGGGCCGCGGATTCCATCGGCGGGTATTTCCGGACATGCGACAACACCGATTCTATCGGCGGGCACGCCCTAATCCCAAATCCTAAATACTTCTTCTCAGCTTGGGGTTAAGCATCCGGGCCCGACCTGGCATACATCCAAACATCAACCGTTGCAGGGTCCTCGCGCGGGCGTGGACATGGGGATAGCGCAAACGCTCATAAGGCAATTCGCTCTCGTCTACTGGATGCAACTGCTACTGCTGCAAGATTGAAAATCCTTCTTGAAAACCCCCCCCCCTATGTGCTCCTGCTTCTAAAGGGTGCGTAGCAATGGGGATTCTAATATTCTCGGACATGGTGCAATTATCTATTTATTGAGGCATCGCTCGAACAGGCTTGCAAAATAATATGCATTTGAAGGCTTCTCTAGAGAAATCTATTCTGCCCAATGATTTCTGGGCCCCTGCTGCGACGTTACTTTTTTTACCGTGATTATGCTGCAGCACGATTTGAATATTATCTTTATATAAGTCTTTCTTTTGAATATTCTTTTTCATATTAATATATTTAAATACTACATGTGAAATTCAAATATATATCTTTATGTCTGTATGATTCTAAACATAAGGAGATCTATCTCTAATCGAATAATAACGACTAATTTTATCTAAAACTATAATTTTCATTTATTTTGATTGATAATAATTTATCTCTTTTAATAACGGCTTTTCTACGATTTTGTTATTTATTTTACGATAAATATTCTGGGAATCTTATCATAGTATTTGGATTTAGAGATAAATTCTTAATATTTTTATTTATTTTAGTTATTCTAAAATATTTTTTATATTGTATATTTTTCGCACTGAAAATTCGGGTGAAAAATTTTCTTTATATTGAATATGAAAAGAATATCGATGGTTTCTATTATTTTGATGGTCGGAATAATGAGATGAAGACTAGAATATAAATGGAAAACAATCGAAAATATGATTATCTTTTTGCATATATTCGATTAATATATATGAATATATAGAATTAAAAAATATTTATATATAGAGAAATATATTTAAAGATTCTATAAAAATATTATATTTTTCTTCTGATTTCGGGTTTGTGGTAATGTGCTTTTGAGATCTTTAAAAATATCTATATTTGTATTTCTATGAATTATATATGGAAGTTTAAATGAATTATAGAAAAAATTGGGCTTTTGAGGAAAAAATTCTAAATATATTTCCAGAATAATAAAAAAAGTATCAAACTTTCTGATATTTCTAAATTTCGTGCCGTGCGAATTTCTATATTTTATCTATATTTCTGAAAATTCAAGATTTCGTGTTATAGAAATTGAATACTTTTCAAACATTAAGGATTTGATATATAAAATGAATTATTATTTGGAAATTATGATTAAATTCGTCGGATTATTTAAAAAATAAAGAATATAGATATATGAAGAAAGATAAGAATTTATTTGGCAATAAAATATTTGAATGAAGTTTAAATTTGAAATTTTTCTGATGATGAAATATTGAAACCAATTCGAAATTAGAATTTGGGCATCGTTATATGTTAGAAAAGAAATATCGGATATCGATATGAATGAATATTCTTAATAAATGACGAAAATATTTAGAAATGAGAATGGCGAAGATGAAAATCTATGTTTGAATTATTCGAATCGAAGAATATGTATAGAGAGAGATATAGAAAGAGAGAGAGAATACTATATATTTCTGAGATATATATTTTAATCGTAAGATTTTGAAATCATCTTTTTAAGATATATATTCCAAAAGAATTAGATTAAATTCTATGATCTATTATGGATTGAGTAGAGAATATCTAGCATCTATTTATGATTAGATATTATTATAGAATGATGATTTCTGATTAAAAAATCTATTCTGAAGAATATGAATGATTTAATTAAAAGTTTTCAATATATATGAATATGTATTATCGATCTTATTGTCGACGATTTTTTTCATAAATATATGAAAATATTGTTGTTTTTTATTTATATTTTCATTGAAATCTTTGAGATTCTTGATCTTATAGAAAAAATATATTCATAAATAAATTCTCTTAAAAAGAATATTCTAATAATATTAGATTTCTATTTTATAGAAGTAGATTATTTAGATATGTCAGAGAGATCTCTTCTGTCTTTTTCTCAAGAATTAAGATATCTATTTTCTAGAATACAAAGAAAGATTTCAATAATAATCTTTCGATCTTGATTCGTCAAATCTTGAAGAATTATTAGGATTAGATTATCGAGCGACATAGACATTCTGGAAACCAGATTCTTCTCCATAATCATTGAGATTTTATTGGAATTATTCCCACGCCTGTGTCTTCGAACATAATTCGAGCTGGGATTGATTTTACTTGAAATTTGAATTTGATTATGATATTTATTATGGATTTCAATTAGATTCAACTTTTGAATCTAGATTATCGAATATTACTGATTAGATTCAAATTTGATATATTGATTTTTATTAGATTTAAAGTTCGAATCTAGCTATAAATATCTCAAAAATAGATTCAATTCTTGGGCACTGGATCATATTACAAATAGAGATTTGGATGGTCTCCGGAATATATATATATATGGAATAGTCATATGGAATGAGACTTGGAAAGCGCATAGAAAAGCTACTTGGATTCTATAATCCGCCAATTCTATTTGATTTGACTTCTCTTGGGATTATGGGTATTCCTATTGCTTCCGGATTGGTCCTGATCCTTCAATTCTCTATCTCAAATATAAAAATCTTAAATTATTATAAAGCCAAGGCTCTGAAGTTTGAATCGTCATTCTCTTTAAGCCTATATGACTATCGATCTTGATCTTACTATTCTTATTGTTCTTATCGTCCCTATTGATATTATTACTGATCTAAAGAGAATATTATTGTCGTTGCTCTTGATATCGATCTTGGAATTTCTATCGATATCGAAATTATTCTTGATATTCTTCTTGATATTAGAGATATTCTTGCTATTATTATTTTTGCTAATTGAATCGATGATCGACTAGCCATTTCTATCGAAATCATTACTGACGCTATTCTTGGCTGAGATATTATTTAGATAGATTCAGATTTTGTCATTGAGATATTATTCTGTCTTATGATTAAAGCTAGATTATGGATATTATACAATCATATGATTATACGAAATGATTTTGATAATTATCTCCTGAAATATTCATTCGATTTCCAAAAATCTTGATGATTCTCTGAATTTTGATAAGATCGTGGCATGGATATATAATTCCGATGAATCTTTGAAATTATTATGAAATCTTGAATTCTCATTATATATGGCTTCCATAATAGATAGAGATTAATTTGGAAAATTATTGAGAAAACTTGATTTGAGCTTTAAGATCTCATGATTACCGCAGATTTAAGATTTATGCCTTGGAATCGCCTTCGGATTTTTGGATTGTATAAGTCGAAAGCTGATCTTTGATGATCTCTTTTTCTTTTTTTCGATATTGGAACTTAAAATCTTTATCTCTGATTCATGATCTTTTTCTATTTTATAAAATGCGTCAGCCCAATCCTCCAGATATTGAATTTTCTGACCTGCTATCAGACCAATTCCAGACGAACAAAATAGATTTTTTGACCTTTTACCAGGCTCCTTCCAGCCCCCCGAAATAAATTTTCGATTTGTTATCAGATTTCCCAAATATTTTTTTGATATCTTATTAAATCGCCTGGAATCTCAGAAAGTAGATTTTTTGTTGAATAACAGATCTTTCTAGATCGTCAAAATGGGCTATGTTGATCTGATATCAGGTCTCTTATAAATTTCCCAAATGAGCTTTTTGGATTTTTTATCAGACTCGTGAGGTCGTAAATGAATTCTTTAGCTTTTATTAGATCCTGTCCAGGCATCCAAAATAATTTTTTGATATATTATCAGGTCTTCTCCAGACTTGTAATATGGAAATTTTATCTTTTGTCTGGGCCTTTTCAAATTCCTAAAATAAGGTTTTTGATTTCTTATAATTCTTCCAAGTCGTCAGAATGAATTTTTTTGATCTATTATCTAGCCCTNNCCCCCCCCCCCCCCCCTTCCAGACCCCCCAAATTGATTTTATATCTTTTTATCAAGTCCCATCTAGACCCGTCAAAATGATTTTTTCCTCCCAAAATGGGTTTTCTGGCTTCTTATCAGACCCTTCCAAAATATCAAAGTAGATTTCTTGGTTATGGCTTCACAGATTTCTTATAGATCTCTCAAAATAAGATTTTTCATCTTTTGCCAGGCCTTCCAGGCTCCAAATATAGGCTTTTAATCTTTTTTTTAGATCTTATGCATATACCTAGAATGGCCTTAAGGAATTAGTTCAGAATTAGCTAAGGTTTAGTTAGGCTTTAGCTAGGGATTAGCTATGGTTTAGCTACGATCTAGTTGCGGTTTTAGCTAGGGCTTAGCTAGGATTTAAGTACAGTTTAGCTAGGGCTTAGCTAAGGTATAGCTAGGGCTTAGTTAGGGTTTACCTAGGGTTTATCTAAGGTTTAGCTAGGGTTTAGCGAAGGCTTAGCTAGGATTTGATCAGGGCTCCTTAGCTAAGGTTTATAGATTTAACTAGGGCTTAGGGAATTGGCTAGGATTTAAGCTAAGGATTTTAGCTAGGATTTAGTTAGGGTATTTCTAAGGCTTAGTTCGGGTTTAGCTAGAGTTCAGCCAGGGTTTAGCTAAAGCTTAGCTAAGGTTTGTTTAGGGTTTAATTAGGGTTTAGGAAAGGCTTAGCTAGGTTTAGCTA